TCTCAGGCGGTTTGCTTGTTTCTGGGCTCAACATCCTTCGCTTTCGGAGCAGATTTGGAGGATGTCTCGAGCGAGGCGCTCATTTTCACCCCCCAGGTGGGCCAGATGTTGAGGATGTCTCGATCGGTTTGCTTGTTTTAGTGGCCAGGCTCGTGGCCCTAAGGGGAGCCGCCAGGGGTGGTTGCACGGGCTCGTTCGCGGCCATTTTGTGGGGATGTCTCAGGCGGTTTGCTTGTTTCTGGGCTCAACATCCTTCGCTTTCGGAGCAGATTTGGAGGATGTCTCGAGCGAGGCGCTCATTTTCACCCCCCAGGTGGGCCAGATTTTGAGGATGTCTCGATCGGTTTGCTTGTTTTGGTGGCCAGGCTCGTGGGCGCAGATTCTTTTCAGGATGCCACAGGAGGCTCCAACAGGCTCCAGGAGGCCCCAGGAGACCACATGAGGTCCCAGGAGGCATCAGGAGGCCACAGAAAGACTCAAGAGGCCACAGGATGTCCCAAGAGGCTCCAGGAGGCCCCAGGAAGCTCCAGAAGGCCTCAGGAAACCACAGGAGGCCCCAGGAGGCAACAGGAAGCGCCAGGAGGCCTCGGAAGGCAACAGGAGGCCCCGAGAGGCCCCAGGAGCAGGAGGCCTCAGAAGGCAACAGGAGTGGCTCCAATCCCATGTGTTTTACGTATGCTCCTATCGATTGGGCCTCACCTGGAGCACGATTCTTTGATGTTCTACGTATGTTTCTATAGATGGTCCTTCTCCTGTGTACACAATCCTAAATGTTTTACTCATGTTCCTATGTATTGGGCCTCTCCTGGGGCACGAGTCCTTGGTGTTTTACGCGTGTTCCTATAGATTGCCCTTCTCCTGTGGCTCTAATCCGCAATGTTTTATGTACGTCTGTTGCTATAGATTGCGCCTCTCCTGGGGCACGAAACCTTCCTAGGAGGTCCCAGGAGGTCCCAAGAGGCTCCTGGAGACCCCAGGAAGCCCCAGTAGGTTTCAGGAGGCCCCAGGAGGCCCCAGGCTCATGCACAGAGACGCGCTTGTACTGCTGAGGCTCATTCACACTCCAATTCATTCGCAGTTAGATTAATGTCCAGACCGTCACAACTGAAGCCCGTTAATATTCGAAAGCTCTTGCGCCTAGACACTCACGGCGGACAGGTCCATGCGAGTATATGCACATATGGGGAGCTCCACGCAGTGAATAATTGTTGTTTTCTGCTGTGTTGTGTTGTTTGTTGTTGTCTTGTGTTGTCTGGGCGCGCCCGCGCAACATCAACACCACAACAACAAACTTACTCCGACGGAAGGACCCCACATGAGAATCTCTTGAGCTTGCATGGGGGTATCCTCCTGCCCCTTCCCTTCTCCCACCTACTCCTGCCTCCTCGTTCTCCTCCTGTCTGCTCTTCCTCCTGCCTCAACCCCTGCCTCTTCCTCCTCTTCTTGCCTCCTCCACCTCCTCCCCCTCCCCCTCGTTATGCTTCCTCCCCCCCATTCCCCCTGCCCCTCCTGCCTCCTGCCTCCTCCTCCTCTCTCCTCCTCCTCCTCCTCCTCCTCATCCCCTGTCCTCCTCCTCTCCCTCTCCCTCATCCGCTTCCTCCTCCTCCTCCTCCTCCTCCTCGTTTCCATATTCCTCCCCCCTCCTCCCCCCCTCCTCCTCCTCCTCCTCCTCCTCCTCCTCCTCCTCCTCCTCCTCCTCCTCCTCCTCCTCCTCCTCCTCCTGCCTCCTCCTTAGGCCTCCTGCCCCCTCCTGGGGCCTCCTGGGGCCTCTTGGGGCCTCCTGGAGCCTTCTGGGCCTTCCGGGACCTACTGGGGCCTCCTCGGGCATTCCTCCTCCTCCTTTTCCTCCTCGTCCTTCCTCCCCTCAGCCTCTTCCTCTTCCTGCTTTCCTGTCTCGTCCTGCATCATCCCTCCTCCTTTTCCTGGCAATCCTCCTCCTCCTCGTTCTCGTGCGGAACACGACCCAGAGGAGGCGCACGACGTGCGTCCCAGCCGATACGCGCCAGAGGACGACCCAGAGGAAGCGCGCGCCGGAGGATGACCCGGAGGAGCCACGTGAGCTGCGGGACTCATAGGAAGGCTCCCGCCTGACGCGTCCTCACAATTCACTCACAGACGAGGGTCCCGCTTGATACTTCTTCCAAACTCAAACCTGGGGAGCCCCAAAGTGACGACAGTTACAAAAATCCGATGACCCGCTCGGATTAGTAACATGATCTGCGGGTCCATAGGGAGGGGGCTCCCGCCTGAGACTTCCTCGCAATTCACTCACAGACGAGGCTCCCGCTTGATACTTCCTCCAAATTCAGACCTGAGGAGCCCAAGCGTGACGACAGTTACAGGAATCCGATGACCCGCTCGGATTAGTAACATGATCTGCGGGCCCCATGGGGAGGGGGCTCCCGCCTGACGCGTCCTCACAATTCACTCACAGACGAGGGTCCCGCTTGATACTTCTTCCAAATTCAGACCTGAGGAGCCCAAAAGTGACGACAGTTACAGGAATCCGATGACCCGCTCGGATTAGTAACATGATCTGCGGGCCCCATAGCGAGGGGGTTCCCGCTTGAGACTTGCTCGCAATTCGCTGACAAACGAGGCTCCCGCTTGATACTTCCTCCAAATTCAGACCTGAGGAGCCCAAAAGTGACGACAGCTATAGGAATCCGATGACCCGCTCGGATTAGTAACATGATCTGCGGGCCCCATAGGGGGGGGCTCCCGCCTGACGCGTCCTCGCAATTCAGTGATAAACGAAGCTCCCGCCTGATATTTCTTCCAAATTCAGACCTGAGGAGCCCAAAAGTGACGACAGTTACAGGAATCCGATGACCCGCTCGGATTAGTAACATGATCTGCGGGCCCCATAGCGAGGGGGTTCCCGCTTGAGACTTGCTCGCAATTCGCTGACAAACGAGGCTCCCGCGTGATACTTCCTCCAAATTCAGACCTGAGGAGCCCAAAAGTGACGACATTTACAACAATCCGATGACCCGCTCGGATTAGTAACATGGTTTGCGGGCCCCATAGGGACGGGGCTCCCGCCTGAGACTTCCTCGCAATTCACTCACAGACGAGGCTCCCGCTTGAAACTTCTACCAAATTCAGACCTGAGGAGCCCAACAGTGACGACAGTTACAGGAATCCGATGACCCGCTCGGATTAGTAACGTGATCTGCGGGCCCCATAGGGAGGGGGCTCCCGCCTGAGACTTTTGACAATTCACTCACAGACGAGGCTCCCGCCTGATACTTCCTCCACATTCAGGCCTCAAGTCAGCGAGTAATGATGATGATGATGATGATGATGATGATGATGATGATGATGATGATGATGATGATGATGATGATGATGATGATGATGATCGTTCGATGCCGATGATGGTGAGTGATCGTGGGATGGTGATGGTGATGCTAATGGTGATGATGATGATGAGTGGGGAGTGATGATGATGGTGATGATGATGCGGAGGAGGAAGCAAAGAGGAGCAGAGGAGAGGGAGGAGGACGAGAGACCCTGCGCGGAGGGTATGCAGAGAAAACAAGAACCCCACTCAGGATGTGGGGAAAATCAACAAAACACAACATGCTGTATGTTGTTGTTTGTGTGTTGTTTTTTGTTGTCGTTTGTTGTGTGTTGTTGTTGTTGTTGTTGTTGTTGTTGTTGTTGTTGTTGTTGTTGTTGTTGTTGTTGTTTGTTGTTTGTTGTTTGTTGTTTGTTGTTTGTTGTTTGTTGTTTGTTGTTTGTTGTTTGTTGTTTGTTGTTTGTTGTTTGTTGTTTGTTGTTTGTTGTTTGTTGTTTGTTGTTTGTTGTTGATGATTGTTTTTTGTTTGTTGTCTGGTGTTGTTTTTTTTGTGTCGACCGTTTTTTGTTTCATTTAAACCGTTTTTATTTTTTTAATATATATATATATATATATATATATATATAATAGAACAAAGAACACACATAACGTGTTTTGTTGTTTCTACTTTTTTTTTGGGGGGGGTGAACCCCCGAACCCCGAACCCGGACCTCAGATCCGCCTCCTCCTCCTCCTGCTGCGAGATCCTCCTCCTCTCCTCCTCCTCCCCCTCCTGCTCCTCCTGCTCCTCCTCCTCCTCCCGCCTCCTCCTCCTCCTCCTCTCCTCCTCCCTCCTCCTCCTCCTCCTCCTGCTGCTGCTCCTCCTCCACCTCCTCCTCCTCCTGCTCCTCCTCTTCCTCCTCCCCCTCCTGCTGGGAGATCCTCCTCCTCCTCCTCCTCCTGCTCCTCCTCATCCTCCTGCTCCTCCTCCTCCTCCTCCTGCTCTTCCTCCTCCTGCTGGGAGATCTGTTGGGTTTCTCGAGGAGGGGGAGGAGGAGGAGCGGGCCAACCGCTTTGCATCGACAGTTTGCGAACGCTTTTTATTTATATATGTATATATATATAATATATATATATTATATATAATATATATATATATATATATATATATATATATATGTATACACATGTATATATATATATACACACATATATATATATATATACATACAGATTCAATATTTTTCCTATCTTCATCATTGTTTCATTGTTTTCTGTATTTCTCACTATGTTTCAATATTTTCACTATTTTTCATTACCTTTCACTATTTTCATTTTTCGCTATTTTCTATATTTTCAATATTTTCATGATTTTCCCTTTATTTTTATAATAATATTTGTTTCATTAAATGTTGATAGAATCCCATAGAAACCTATAGGACGATATAGCTTTCCATCGTCTTCGCGTTCCTCAAAGTACGCCATGCCATGCCGTGCTCTACAATGCATCGCGTACCCTTCCGGGATCATCGCCCTGCTTGACATCCGACTGTGCGAGTAGAGAGGGGATCTGCGCCATGGTAAGGGATGGGAGGGAGGAGTAGGATATCAGGTATGACGGGAGCGCACCTAGCTTGTCCTCCCCCCCTCCTCCTCCCCGAAGGGTTAGGGTCCTTTTTTGGTCAATCCCGCCTCCTCGCGCCCGGGGCGGCGAGAGGACCCCGGCGCGTGGCGGCCGCGGACGTCGAGCCCGAGCCGGGCTCCCCCTCCAGCGCCTCCCCAGAGCACGCTGGCGCTGGGCGCGCGAGGCCCGGCCCCTCACGCGCGGCGCTGGGCGGCGAGGGACGAGGTGTCGTGGGGGAGGAGGGGGAGGAGAAGGAGGAGGAGGAGGAGGAGGAGGAGGAGGAGGAGGAAGAGGAGGAGGAGGAGGAGGAGGAGGAGGAGTGGCATGAGCCGAATTGCCGCGGCAGGCCGAAGTTTCATCTTCCGCCCGAGGCCCTGGGACTCTGCAGGCCCTCTAGAGAACCCTGCTGGTGTTCGAGAAAAAACAATACGGAAGTCGGCTGCGGCAGAGGGGCGGGAGGGGAGGAGGTAACGACCACAATCACCACAATGACCATCAGGACTACGCCAGCGACGACGACGACGACGACGACCAGGACGAGGACGAGGACGAGGACGACGACGAGGACGACGACGACGACGACGACGACGACGATCACGCCGGCAACCACGGCGACGACGACGACCACGACGACCACGACGACGACGACAACGACGACGACGATGACGACAACGACGACGACAATGGCGACGGCGGCGGTGACGATGGCGACGGCGGCGGTGACGGTGGCTGCGGCGGCGGCGGTGCCGACGACGATGACGATGCCGCCGCTGCCACCGACGACGCCGCCGACGACGACGACGATGGTGGCGGCGGCGTTGGCGCCGGCGGCGGCGTTGGCGGTGAGTTTGGCGGCAACGGCGATGGCCTCCAGTGCAGTCCAGAGGCCTCTGGAGCCCTTAAGCCGCAACAGAGGCGACACGAATAACCAAAAGGCTCCGACCTTCGCGAGCCTCGAGCCCCGAGCCCCGATCCTCGACGACGGTGGCAGCGACGACCACGGCGACGCCGACGGCACAGGCGAGGACGCGCACGCCTTTCCGGCGCTTGCCCCCTCCTCGAGGCGGCGACCCGGCGCCGTCCAGCGGGAGGCCGCCGGGCCTTTCGACCCCGCGGCAGGACGCCCCTGCCGCCGCAGCCGCCGCCGCCGCCGCCGCCGCTGCCGTCGTCGTCGTCGTCGTCGTCGTCGTCGTCGTCGTCGTCGTCGTCGTCGTCGTCGTCGTCGTCGTGGTTGTCGTCGTGGTTGTAGCCGTCGTCGTCGTCGTCGTCGTCGTCGTCGTCGTCGTCGTCGTCTTCGTGTTCCATTTTGGCTCAAGACTCTTGCTGGGTCTGCGGTTGTATGCGCATGAGGTCTTCTCTCGCCGGTTTCACATTCTTACACCTTCTGTTGTTTCTTGTCCCGCACGCGCATTTTGCCCATCGTGCGGAGACGCTCGCATACATGGCCCTCGCTGGTACGCACCTAGTCGATGATGACATCGAGGTTGAGGAGAATAAGGCCAAACAACAGCGTACCGCCTCAGGAGCTGCCCCGTTCGACCCGTGGGGCGGCTACAAAGGCGCCAGCAGCAGTGCCGCCTCCTCAGCAGCGCCGCTGGGACCACCGCCTGCTATCCCTCCGCCGACAGCTTCTCCTGAGGGTCTCGATCCAGGGGCCGCCAGACTGTTCGCCGCCTTGTCTGCCGACTTCAGGAACGTCATGGGTGAGACCATCAGGCCGTTGGACGCAAAAGTGGAGGAGGTCAATCGTAAAGTATCTAATACTGACAGGGCGGTTGCCACGCTGAAGGGAGACCTCGCCAGCCTGAAGACGAGGATGGCCGTCGTGGAGTCTGGGGCCAGTGCTGCTCGTACTACCACCTCAGCCGCCTCAGTGGCCTCGGTGGGAAGTGGAGCCTCAGAGGCTTCCACGATGGCACCTCCCGCCAGGATGCCGATGGGTTTGAGAAAGACTCTCTGCGTCGGCGGCTGGATCTACTCAGAAGGGGCGGAACTGGCGAGTGAGATGCGTGAAGTACTACGACCCGCTCACATCGAGGGCGTCGCCAAAGTATATCCAACGGGCTCGTACACGGACAGAGTGAAGGTTGAGTTTAGCAACGAAGATTTCATGTGGAAGTGCTTAGTTTCCATGAAGGGGAAGAAGTTCGCTAGCACCCTGACAGAGAGGGGCCGCGAGGCGGACCCGATCGACGGTGCCAAGCGGAAGCTCTGGCACAGCATTGACAAGTATACGGTCGAGATCGTCTGTTTCAGTCGTGGGGCCCACGCGAAGGACCTGATCAAGAGCGCCTTCATGACTAAGTGGCCTACTGACGACGTGCAGCTGCTGACGATGTCGCTGGACGCCCAGAAGGACATGGGCCCCGTCGTCTGCCTACGCAAGCACCTACCGCAGGAGGTCCAGCCGAGGGGGCCGATCCGCCTGCTTACGAGGGCGCACCCATCATACTTACTTCGCCTGGCGGAGGGGGGACAGGCCTGGCTCAACAGCATGGGGGTGCAAGTCGACCTGGCCTCCAAGCTAGACGAGATAAACGACCCTCCTCGCAGGTCTTGACTATCTACGGAGGGACGCGTTCATACCAGCGACGACACCGTCATCATCTCTTGGAACTGTCGCGGAGTTCCGATGAAGGGTGTCGCAGGGGTGCTGGATCAACTTGAGCGCGAGTTCTTCTGGGGCGTGATTTGTTTTCAAGAATTCACGGAGACCGACCTTATCCATCCTGAGATAGCCGGCCATGCAGTAATCCTGGGGCCTCCCAGCGGCAGGCGGAAAAAGGAGGCCCTGTATCGTAGTGCAAAAGACACTCACGGCTTGCATCGTTGGGGAGCCACTGTTCATATCCTCCTGCCTAGCACTTGGAGTCCACACAGCTCGGGGAAAGCTTTGGGTTGCATGTGCACATCTCGACCCTGACTCCCACAACCATACCCTCTACGCCCAAGATTTTCAAGAGTGTGAGCAGTTGGTTAACACGACGCCTTCTGGTTTCAGACCTATTCTTTGTGTAGATGCAAATGCCTCATTTGGAAAGAAAAGATACCCGACTCGGGCTGTGGGCCCGCATACCTCTGGAGTTCGCTCGTGGAAGACAGACTACCTACATGAGTTCATGGTCACGAACGATTTGATTGCGGCGAACACCTGGAGCAAGCCAGCCACGGGTACCGCGACATGTTTCTATGACGGACGCTTCGATCCCAGACAGATCGACTTCGCAATGGTCTGCAGCTCCTTCCCCGTCGCCAGCTACAGTGCCCAGGTGAGGGAGTCGTGGGCGGTGAAGTCGGGATACTCCCCAGTGGTGCTTCGCTTTTTTTGCAGAGCGCCGGCCTCAAATTGTCTTCACTCCTGCCTGCAAGCACCGCTTCACGACTAAACCCGTGGGCTGGCAGCTGCTAGACCACACTTTTGGGGCCCAGCTGGAGGACCGTTTTGACATTTCGGGCAGGTTGAGAACCGACATCTCGCCTGCTCAGGTCAGTTTCAGAATCTTCAGCGACGGGCACTTTAAGAAACGCACTAAGACTAAGTCTACGTGCGGCTGGGGTTTCGCGGTCTTCATGGACCCCCTGGCCTGGCCCCGAATTCGAAGTCCCCGAAATCTCCTGGCATCAATTGCGCCCCCGTCTTCGTAGCCTGCGGCCCAGTACACACCGACCCCACCTCCCAAGGTTCCTTAGGTGCCATCCGTTGTACACATAACACCGCCGAGCTGTCAGAGGCAATCGAAACAGGTTTGTGGCTCCTAGGATCCATTGCACCCTCAGGACACCACCTCATCGCCGCAGGCTCCGTGGTCGAGGTCGTCTTTGATTCCATGTGCGTGATTGGCGCCCTGGAGAATACTTTCCACCCCTAGCACAACCTCGTCCTCACCTCCCTGCTCCGTTTCGTCTGGGAGAAGGTTTTCCGCGCGTTCAGGATCATGCTCTCCTGGGTCCGCGGCCACTCGGGCGTCTTGGGCAACCATGTCGTCGATCGACTCGCACTGGAAGGAGGAAACCCATCCTCGACCTCTCCCGGAACTGGTTTGAAAAAAAAAAACGACTCGGGTCAGCTGGTTCCTTCCCTGGGAGAGTTTACCTCCGCGGTCGCCGACGTGGCCGCTAGCTGTATCAAGAAGAAAAGCCAAGGACCCCCGCGGACCCCGAAGGAGCTGTGGAAAGAAGAAAAGCCAGGGCCCCCGCGACGGCGACTGGGCAGGCGCGAGATGCGGAACAGGACCCCAGCATCCGACACGTTCTGGGCATCCGTCTGGTCGAACTTCAACATAAACTTCAGGCTGAGAACCATCACCTTAGACACGAATACTTACTCAAACGGGGCCGGGCTGAGAGAAGCTTTAAAGGAGGGAAGGTTAAAACGCTGAAGACGGAGAAGGGGGAACTTATCACGCAGGTGGAGGAGATGAGGGAGGAGGTGGCATTGTTGTACCATGGTTTATTCAATGATCAGAACTCTTCGAAGGAGACCCTACCCAAATGGATTTGGCAGCAGTGGCCGAGGGAGGCAGTCGCGAACCTCCCACGCCAATTTGACGCCGCCCTTGTTCGTAATTGCCTGGCCCGCATGAAACCAGGCAGGTCTTGCGCTCGTGACGACTGCGTCGTAGCCGAGATGCTGCAGGTTTCGAGCAATGAGACTCTTAGATCTTTTCGGCGAGATTTTTACTTTGAGATTGTTGAACCACCCGAGCGAGCAGCATGATAAGATCTTTGCACGTCACCAGGTGTCCCTGGTGGCTAACTTCTGGGGCGCTTGCAGAGTCTCGGATTTCAGACCTTTTGCGATTCTGTCCAGCGTTCTCAAACTTTACTCGATGTGTGTGTGTGTGTGTGTGTGTGTGTGTGTGTGTGTGTGGGGGGGGGGGGGGCCTTATCGATTTCCACGACCAGCCCCTCTCCCAGGCCCAGTTCGCTTTCAGGAAAGGTTTTCAGGTCCACGAAGTTGTGTCTATTACCCGTCTTCTGGTGGAGAAAGCGAAGGAGTTCCATGGGGCATCTCTACATGGGGGTGGGGGGCTTCCGCTAAGACTACGACCGCGTCCCCACGCCCTCATTATTCGAAATCATCAGCGACGTGGCATGCCACAGATTATCACCGCGGCTTGGCTTCGCGAGATTCGAGGAAGTGTCTCTGAGATGCTCCTCCCAGGACCCCCACCCTCGCGGCCAGTATCACGTAGCCGCTCTCTTTTGCAAGGCGACCCAGAGGCACCTTTCCAGTTCTCTCTTTTTGCAGATGATGCTGCCCGCGAGTTTGAAGATCGCCGTGCTAAGGAGGGTTGGGGATACCCTCTGCAGGCGAACGATTTAGAGATCATGAAACAAAACAAGAGACGTCGACGGGATCTGAAGATCGACCGCCTCAGCCTGCTCCTGTTTGTTGACAATTATTATGTCTGTGCACCTTCCCCGCCATGCTTGCCCAGATGATGGAAGCTTGGCATTATATCCTGCGCCGCCGCTATCAAGTAGTTATCGAGCACCATTTGTGCTTCTGGATCACGACGGCGGATAGCGCCAACTCTGCCGTGATCGCGCTCTCGGAGGGAAGGCTGACTCGGATGCCCAGGGAGGAGGGGGTCAAGATGCTGGGAGCTCACTTTTCCTTCGACGGCAGTGCGAGCACGGCCGTCCAGAAGGGTATTGCACGTGCATGGTCCTGTTTCGCTAAGAATAAAGCCTCGCTATGTGCGAGGCGCGCTCCTTTGGGGAAAAGAATCTCACTTCTGGACCGTACTGTCAGGGCCGCTGCTTTTCATTGCTTTGGTTCGTTGCTGCTCGCGAGAGCCCACATGGCCCATGTACGTGCTGCCCAGTATAGAATGCTCCGTTACATGGTCCGCGTCCGCAAGGATGACCCAGAGGGGTTGGAGAGCTACATGAAGAAAACTCACCGACGTATCCGTGGGGCCCTGGAGAAACATGGCTCGATCCCCTGGGACCACCATGTGCTTTTACTGAATTATTCTTGGGCTGGTCACATTATGCGTATGGAACACTATGATAAGCAGCGTATCATTTTCAAGGCTTGCCAATAAAAGAATTATGAATATCTCTCCCATTTCAAAGAGCTCATCGGCTCCCAGGGCCACCAGCGAAAGTTG